AGAATTTACAGAAAAATAATATTTATTTTTATTTATTGTATCAGAAGCAAACCAAGGGTACAGTTGTAATGTGTTTTAAAAACACAAAGTTTTATACTAAATGTCCTTTGACCAGTATCTGGCCACTTGGAGTGCCTCTGTTGTTGCTATAAGAAGGTCCTCCATTCTACATGTTGCAGGGCTCAGACTGCATTGTAATAGGTGGTCTGTGGTTTGCTCTTCTCCACACTCGCATGTCATGGACTCCACTTTGAAGCTCCATTTCTTAGGGTTGGCTTTGCATCTCGTGGTATCAGAGAACAGTCTGTTCAGTGCCTTCCAAGTCTCCAAGTCTTCTGTGTGCCCAGGGGGAAGTCTCTTATCCAGTATCAGCCATGGCTTGAGGTTCCCAATTCTATCCTGCCACTTTTGGACTCTCCTTTGCTGAGGAATTGAGCTTTGGAAATGTGAAGCACTTTATGCATAGCTTCAGAGGTTATTCTGCTTTGACAGGTTGCAGTGAGGTGCCAATGGGAAGCCTACAGCTTCTCACAGGACAAGAATCTGCAATCTTAATGTTTACCATTTCTTTGCCAGTGTGACAAGAGAGCTTAACATCACTGTTTATAGATAAATGAAAAAAAATTAATATGCCAGATTGATTTTATACAATCTATCTTTCACAATAACAGGAAACTTTATATTTTATTAACAGAACTATACAGTTCCCATTCATTACATCTCTCTCTTATTGTTCCTCTACTGTAGTGTAGGTTTTATTTGAATGAAATGTCGAAGAGTTATGATATTTCCTGGCTAGTATATCCTAACCTTTTGTTCGAGATACCCAAGTAGTTTTTATAAGATGAAATGATTGGCATGGATGGGCATGGGCCTTTCCAACGTTCCCTCCCTTCTCTCCCTTTTGCCCTGTACTTGCCAGGACAAGCCTAGGGGCATCTCCCTTCTTTTCCTGGAATCTTGGACAGACATCAGAGGCTTTGGAGAGGAAGGAAGACCTTTGATGTCATTTCTGGGCAACAAGAAGGCTTGTCCTGGTTAATACAGGGCAAAAGGGAGGGGAAACTCACTGTGCCCCCCTTTCCCAGACTTCATGAGTCCGATAAACTGGGATGGCTATGGAGACAAACAGATGGCAGTCCAAGGTGTCTGTCCTCACAGGCCCCATACTGCCAAAGATCCAGACCTTAAAGGAAAGTCTGGTCTGGTTCTTTGGAGGTATTTTTTTAAACCTGCATTAAACTTGACAAGTCAGGTTTATTCCAGGTTAAAATGAATTATCCTGGTGAATCATTTCGATGCCTCAGGCTAATCCATTTTGTGGCAGTGTACTTGGAACCTCAATATCTTAGGTAAAGGTGAAGGTTGTCCCCAGTCCAGGCGGTTGGTGCTCATCTCTATTTTTAAGCCGAAGAGCCAGCGTTGTTCATAGACACCTCCAAGGTCATGTGGCCGGCATGACTGCAAGGAGTGCCATTACCTACCTGCCAGAGCGGTACCTATTGATCTCACATTTGCATGTTTTCGAACTGCTGGGTTGGCAGAAGCTGGGACTGAGAGCGGAAGCTCACACCGCTCCCTGGATTCGAACCTGTGACCTTTCAGTCAACAAGCTCAGCAGCTCAATGGTTGAACCCACTGTGCCACCAGGGTCTCCCTCGATATCTTAGATTGTTCTTTTCAAGTTCAAGCTAAAACCTGGAGGGGATTAACCACACTATTCACATAGAAGTTCCCATAATAAGCAAGGATTTACATTTCTAGTCCCTAAGAAGTAGTTTATTTAAAAATCAGACCTACTGAGTTCAGTTTGTTTTCCTCTATAGTGACTATGCTTTGATTCATGTGGCATTGTGTCATGTATCAGCCATGGTATGCCTGCCAGTATGTTCTTGAGTTCTTGAAGGTACATTTGTGAATACAAACAACTGCTGTAAGCAAGGCCAAACTAATAATGTGCTGCACAATTTATAGCATTCAATATCTTGGGAATCCCATGGTGTCAAGAAATACTACAGAGATAACCCTGTAATTTTTTTAAAAATCTAACTAGATTAAAGTTAAGTATCTAGTAATACAATAGATGAGAAATAAACCTGAAGCATCTCCTAAATCTATCGACTGAATTTGAATGAATAACTTCTAATGCTGAAGATGAGGCTAACTTTTGCTCAAACAGAATAATAGCTTAGAGTTCCAGATGCCTGGTTGTTACATGACTGTATCTTGTTTTGAGATTTTTTTTCTCAGCAAGAACACAACTGGGATTAAATAAATGTTTTAGTAGCTATCAGTAGTAATTTCTCAAAGTGCTTCATGTTGATATTTCAGAGTAATTATCTAAATATGCAAATCGTTTTGCTATCCAATATAAAAAATAAGCCATAAATTACTATAGTAAAAAGGCTGCTGAGGGAGAAAAATGTATGTAACTACATGTACATTAAAAAGATTCATAGTATATTTTAAGCAGAATATGTATTCTCTATGGCTAAACCCACTTTCCTTCTCCCAGTTGGATCCCCTTACAGCATTGGTTCTCAACCTTCCAAATGCTGTGACCTCTTACTACAGTTCCTCATGTTGTAGTGACCCCCAACCATAAAATTATTTTTGTTGCTACATCATAACTTTAATTTTGCTACTGTTATGAACTGTAATGTAAATATTGGATATACAGGACGCATTTTCATTCATTGGACCAAATTTGGCACAAATGCCCGATACTCCCACATTTGAATATTGGTGGGATTGGGAGGATTGACTTTGTCATTTGGGAGTTGTAGTTGCTGGGATTGATAGTTAACCTACAATCATTCTGAACTCCATCAATGGCACGGATACTCAATATGCCCAAATGTGAACACTGGTGGAGTTTGGGGGAAATAGACCTTGACATGTAGGAGTTGTAGTTGCTGGCGTTTATAGTTCACCTACGGTCAAAGAGCATTCTGAACCCTACCAATGATAGAATTGGGCCAAACTTCCCATACAGAACAAACATGACAAACAGAAAATACTGTGTTTTCTGATGGTCTTTGGTGACCCCTCTGACACCCCCTCGCAACCCCCCCCCAGGGGTCCCAACCCTCAGCTTGAGAAACAGTGCCCTACAGCATTAATGAGATGTGAAAATTAAGCCCCTAGAAATCTTGGGTTTTTTTAGCTACTTCCACATGTATTTATTTATTTGCCATATTTATACCCCACCTTTCTCTACCCCAGCAGGGGGACTCAAGGAGGCTTACAATGGCACATACACAGTGCCTCAAAACAACAAATTCACCTTAAAATAGTTGTAAAATTGCAACATATTAGGCATGATTAAAATACATTCAAAGTTAAAAACATGCCATCCGGAGTTCAAGGTCAAATTGCACATAATTCAATATTCTACATTGCCCTAATTTTTGAAAGCCTGCTCCCAGAGCCAGATTTTGACTCTCTTCCTGAAAGCTAGTTTGGGGGGGGGCTGATCTGATGTCACTAGAGAGGGGGTTCCACAACCGAGGAGCCACTACTGAGAAGTCCTTGTCTCTCATTCCCACCAGCCGTACTTGTGAGGCAGACGGGACTGAGAGCAGGCCTCCCCAGATTATCTTAGTCTCCGAGGTGGTTCGTAGGGGAAGATACGTTTGGACAGGTAGCCTGGGCCGGAACCGTTTAGGGCTTTATAGGCTAAAGCCAGCACTTGGAGCTTCTGAACTTCAAAGGCAACCCCACGTAGAGTGCATTGCAGTAATCTATATGGGATGTAACCAGAGCATGGACCACCATGGCCAAGTCAGGCTTCCCAAGGTCCAGGCACAGTTGGTGCACAAGTTTTAATTGGGCAAAAGTTCCCCTGGCCAGCAATGAAACCTGAGGTTCCAGGCTCAGTGATGAATTCAGGATCACTCCCAAGTTGTGAACCTGTACTTTGAGGGGGAATGTAACCCCATCCATCACAGCTGTAACCCTATGCCCTATTCAGCGTTTTGACTAACCAGGAGGACCTCTTTCTTGTCTGGATTCAATTTCAATTTGTTCACTCTCATCGAGACCAGCACAACTGCCAAGCACCAGTTCAGGACTTGTACAGCCTCCTTAGTAGTGGGTTGGAAGGAGTGATAGAGTTGAACATAATCTGCGTACAGATGACATCGAACTCCAAAACTCCGGACCATGTACCAGTGCACCACCCTATTTATAGTATGCCAGGAGCCTCAAGAATTCTGGTTTGTTGTGATATCCAAATATGTACACATTGCAGGCACAATTGAGAAAGATTACACTGTATTTGCTTATGAGATATCTAATAATATATCACATTAAGTAACGTGCGGGCATAAGGCTTTGCTTGCAGTTGTGTAGCATGCTCCTCATAAATGATGAGAGAGATTTCCCCTAGAACCTCTTTTTAAATGATGTGGAAACAACCTGTATACCTTGGATTTAAAAGAAATGTTATGATCAGAGTGATAATTGACATTTATCTGCTTCTTAAAATTGTCATGACTTTTTATGTTACCTTGTTTTCTTTTTTGGTATTATGGACTCTTTACTGTGCATCCCTCCCAGAAAACCTGTCGGCGAGTTGGGTGTTAAAGTTTGTATCAGTCATTTTAGGGGCGCAACAGAGGTTTGTAGTTGATAACTTTAATGTTAGAGTAGCACAACAAGATTTGTTTAGATTTTATTGGGTAGTGTGCATCAAATGAAATTTTGGCTTATTAGGATGATGATATTAATATTTTAAACAATATATTACCATAGTTTCCAATTTCTGAAATTGCTGTGTGACTTCTGTGATATATATTACATTGAACAATTCTGTTCAAAAGTGAAAAATTTAGAGCTATTTCAATACAGTTAAGATTCACTGCAGTAAAGTGTGAGGTTCCATAATTTCCTCACTGCAAAGAACATTCTTCCAAGTTTGTATTGCATTAAAGTTTTCTGAACCCATATATTAAAGTGTTATGCTCATCAGTGTATTTTTTTTTGTTTTTTGTTTACAGGATAGAGCAGCCGATGACAGCTGTGTTGAAGAAATTTTACGGGTAGGACAGCATTTATTCTTCAGTTCCTTAGAATATGTTTGGGCGGAACTGATACTATGGGTATCCGAGGTGTGACCTGATCGCATTGCAATTCTCAAAGCAATAAGCCAAAATGCAGTTATAGTGTGTTTATTTTTAAAAAGACAAGTTTTGAACACCCAGTTCTGATTTTGAAAAAAGATACCCACGGGTCTAAAACAGTCTTGGGTGGCGTCAATAGAGTCAATCATACCTCCTGGAGACCTGGGATAGGGGAATTTATCAATTTTGTTAACAGAAGAAATGTAGGGACAGTTTGAGATGTTTGAGAGTGTGGGGTGGGGGCACAATGAGCTCTGATGATCACATGAAGCCCACATATGCATCCTTTACAGTAGCACAGCCATGTTTATATTACACTTCTGGACCCTTTCATACTACACAATAATGTCACTATGATTTCAGTTTAATTGACTATGGAAGTATGAGATTTACAGAGGTTTTTTTTTGGGTATGTTCAAATTGTTTCTGACTTACAGCAGTCCTAAGATAAACCTTGTACAAGATTTGTTTGGAGGGAGTTTGCCTTTGACTTCCTCCAAGGCTGAGAGAAAGTCACCTGTCCAAAATGGGTTTCTTTGGCTGAGTAGTGATTTAAACCCTCGTCTCCAGGGCATAGTTCAAAACTCATACTACTGCAATGGCATATTCTAAGGTTGCATTTATAATTTAGGGAGATGGATTTAGACTTTTCATCCATTTCTAACCAAAGCACAATCCCCAGCATTCCATAGAGTTCAGTCATTGCCATTGAACTGAAACCATAGTGCTATAACTATATTGAGTGATAAGGTCCTTGGACATTTTATTATTATTATATGTATTCCAGTCCCAAGAGTAATGAGATCTATGAGAGAACAATTTCCACCAAACTACTCAGAAGTATGGGGAGATTGTCGAGTCTGTTGTTAACATTTCATATGAACAGGCTAAACAATGTGAATTTCCTCCTAAAAAGATAATAAACAATCTGTTTTGGAAACAGATTTGAGCATGGAATGCTAGATAATTATTTTGTGGAAGAGACATACAGTTGGTAAGAGAAATAGTGTTTATCAAAACCCAGAACACTGAGTACAGAAAATATATCTTCTGCATGAGAACACATCACAACAGCCATTTTGTTAAAAAGCCAAAAATTATATTCCTCAGTTTTCTGCAAAAACTTGCTTAGACAATGTACAAAAGATATGGTAATGTTTACAGCACTTTAAAAGATTGTCCATTTATACACCTCCTCCAATATTTCACAAATGAAAATTGGGAAACATTTGCCTAATCCATATCAAAGTGTTGTCAATATGGCAGAAGTTATTAATAAGGAAAAATATGCCAGCTAGCTGAGACTGGGCCCACTGGAAGGGCAGCATTCCTCACCTTCCTCTTTGCTGATTTAATTGTGTGCAAACTACATACATTTACTCTTTGATCTCCGTCTGGAGCAACTGAAGAAAACAGAGGAAAGGAAGAAAGAAAAACTGGGACATTTTAAAGGCAGCTGGGAGTGTTCAATGACAAGAGTATTCATTGGGACTGTCTGTGCCATAGGAGAAAAGCAGGGTATTGCTCATAGTGCAAGAAGTATTCAAAAGTGGACCATTCTGCTATTATGTGCCAGATGGTGCAAGAAGTGACCAGAGCCATATTTCTCCATAGGTTCCATGACTCTCCTTAGAGAATAAACAAGCTGTAGATCCACTGTCAATTTAAAAATAGGTCTTAGAGCTGACAGTTATATCAGAGAAGACTTACACAGGCTTCCACAAAAACCCATACATTGCAGAAGCTGCCTTACACAATGCAGGAACATTGCATGTTTGTGCACGCATAACAAGACAAGAAGAGTGCTAGGAGGTTAGGTTGCATTGATAAAAGGTCACAACCTGAATAATCTCCTCAGTTGTGGAGAAGCCACCAAAATGGGATAACTGAAAAGTGGAAAAAAATGGGTATTTTGAGATGTTAAAAGATCTAGTGGGCATTATGTTAAGAAAACCCCCAGAGATTTCCATTATCCTGCTCCACAAAACAGAAGTAGTGTAGGAAAACATGAAAACATATGATACAGTTAAGGAAATTGGCAAGTCTATTTTTGTAGCACACATTCATGGTCCCAGTCAAGTTGACATTGTTATTTCAGTTTAGTAGAAACTTTTTTTCTATTATGGATTCAAGAGGATTTACAAAAGTTAAAAAAGTACAAAACATAATAATTGACTGGCAGTGACAGCATTTAAGAACATTTATACTTTTGATGTCAAATGGACATCAAAAGTAAAAAATGTTTCAAAATTATATTTCTCTAACTTTTCATATTAATTGTACTGACTTCACGTGGAAAATGCAAGACACATTCTTAAATGAAATTCTACTAACAACAAATGAGAGGTATCCCCTAAGAGGACCAACATGAACAAAGTAGGCTATTTTCAGATGATAAATAATGGATTTAGCTTGGAAGCACTATATATTTTCCACAGGCTGTAATTTTATTCTGGAAGATCCAGATTGCACTGTGGTTTAAGTAAAGCTTGTAAGAAAATTCTAAGCATATTACAAGCCATCTGAGAGAATGTTATGTTAGACCGATGTTCATTGTTTCAAACTATTAGTTGAAATGATTAACAACACCAATTTAAAACAAATGAATAAAAATAAGCAGGAGGAATAAGGCTGGCTACAGGAGCAGGTCAACTGGTTAGTTAATAATGCATAATAAAGTGTCATATCAACTCAAAAAGCAGAAAACATGTAGTTGAAATGAAATATATTCATGTCCTGGTAAAAGTAGTGATTGCATCTAAAACAATGCAATTTTACACCAACTTGCTTAGACGTTGTTATATCACCAGAATTTTTAATGTACTGTTTTATGATTTAAATGCCAATAAGGCACACTGTAAATAGGATATAATTGTGAATATATATTATATTGATGACTTGTAATGGTGACCTGGATCCAAAAGACATTAACCAGGGGGACATCTACACTGACCACTTACTGCAGTTTGAAGGCAGCTTAACAGTGTGGTGTTTCAATGATGTGTGTTGTTAATGCTCACAACAATATGTGCTCAGGGCTTTAAAGCAGGATAATCAAAGTTGGGGGATATTCTGAAATGAAGCCTATAATGTTCACCAGTGCACTTAAGTATAAGCCACATTACATGGGCAACCCAATTCAAGCACAGGCACTCTGATGAGCCATTCATGTGTATTGCGAGGTGGAAAAAAACTGTTTCCTCAAAGGATACTACAGATTCTGGAGCCGTTTTGAGGTGCATATAACCACCACCCAGGCCTTGAACCAGTTCCAGGCTTCACATGAAACCATCTGCACAGAGAAATCACTTCATTCTCTGCCAGTTTCATATTGCCCTAAGTGGTCACTGTAGATGTTCCCCTACTAACTGCTAAGTAATTTTTACCACAACTAATGCACAATTTAAGATGCACGACTTAATTAATGTCAACTCCTACTTTTAAACTATTGGGAGTCAGAAACCGTTTCTGATTTGCTGCATATCCCACAGATATTCACTCTCCTTCTCAATCTATCTTTTGCCCATCCAGCTTTACTGATACTATGCAGTAGTTTTATAAACAAAAGGCTGTATACACATATTTGTAAGTTCGTGTGATTTGTATCATACTGTTTACCAGTCTTTCTAAAAGCGTGTGCGATTCGTTATTTCACTACTGCCTTATTGAGTCAGTGTGGTTCCATTCTGAACTATGTATAATTGGGTATTGGCAATGTGTATATGCAACAATGGGGATATGGAGTTTCCATATAAGTGGGTGATGAAAACAGATTTGAGATCAAACTTCAAAGGAACTATCCAAGGTGCTGAACTCAGTTTGTCAAAATACATCCTGCACTTTTGGATAGATACTCCAATGTTAGGACCAAAACCCACAACAGACTGGTAGTCAACTTGTCATGTAAACCACCAGCAAACCCCACTAGACAGAGTTCTTGTTGTTTTAAATGGTCTTTTGGGAAACACATGGGGTTTTTTTGCTGGGAGGGCTTAGAAATCACCACTTATTATGTGTCAATTGGGCCTTTCATATTTTCTTGAATGAAATTTGACTCAGCAGTAATTTCTTAAGATGGTATGACTTGATGGAGTATTGAGCACTTAAGAAAAACCTAGACCTTTTATATCTGCCACTTATTTCCTGATTATCTTCCTGGAGGTCAGGCCCTTCATTTTGACACTTAATGAATAAAATGTCTACGTTGCAGGAAATAGGATAATGAATTGTGAAAAGACATAATCAGCGATGACTAAATAATTAAGGGAATTGAAATGTAGAGTCATCGGGGAATGCATTAATAATAACATGGTTTTTCCATATGCTAAAAATGCTGTCCTAAAAAAGTGATCATGTATGCTCTGTGGAAAGAAAAAAGAAATTTAATAGGAACTGTAATTAGATGTTCTGGTTTTAACTGACTGAATAAAAAATGAAATCATATAGAAACTATATTTAGATACAAGCCAGAAAGTAAACTGATTATTATTCATAGTCTTGCTAATAGGTACTCTAATTTATGCACCTAGTGGGAATCATGTTAAGCAATTAGGAAGCTATGTCACACTTCACTTGCCTTTATGCATTTACATATTTATATATTTTCCAATAATATGGCAATGTTTCCCATCTTTTAGTTACCTTTATTGCAAGTAGTTGACTGGAATATTACCTTGACGTTCTGTCTAATAAATATGGTTACTGCAGCTCTAAAGCTGTTTGAAGTTCAAGGAAATAACATCAAACATGCTTCTGTTTTATTTCACCTACTCTATCACACTGGCTTCTGTTAACCACAACTGGAAGACACTCTCTGGAGCATCCCCACTTCATGTTTTTGGAAGCATGATTTTTTTAAAAAAAAATATTGATGATGTCATTCTCCTTATCTGCCTACCTAAATGTCTCCCTTGCCATTA